TACACGACGTGGCACTAATAGCAACGTGTTTAGCTGCAGGGACTTGGGGTACCTGGAATCATACTGTGTGGGCTGTGTGAGGACTCAGGGCAAAGCCTGGTGACAGCCACCCCTCAGGAGACAGCACTCACAGGAGAAGCTGTCCCCTCTGCCTGCTCGCCCTTCCTCCAGGTGCATGGGACGGCTGCAGAGGGAGTTTTCCACCTTCTCCTGCTGTCTCTATGAGTGAGCTCCGGAGGGCTCTGGCAGCCTCACCTAGTATCAGCTTTCATGGCTGGGTCCATCTCCCCCTACTCAGTCTTGATAGGCACGTAGCCACTTGCTGGAAACCAATTCTTCAAATGACCAGTTTACCAAAAATGGCCAGTTCTCAGCATGGTCAATTTGCCAAGTGCTTTCTCCAACATTTTAGCCTTACCACAGTAACACCCCAACCACTTCACAGTAACTCTGTCAGTCAGCCGAGTCCAGGGTCAGTACAGTCTGCGTTTCATATCCAGAAACAGAGCCCTTTTAGAATGTAGTCTCGTTTCTATGAATGGGTAGGACTTCAAGTGTGTTGGGTTCCTTTTTAATTATTTCCTTTCCCAACCCCTGTCTCTGACAGTAAGTCCCAGGTACGACAAACTATGTCAGCTTGTGCTAACTCAGCCTTTCAGCAAATTGGGCATTTGGTGAGCTGGCACTGAGAAAATGAGTTTTGCAGAGTCCAGCCAAACTCGTTGGCCTACAAGCAGGGCTTGGTGAATTAGCACTTTGCATTACTTATCTCCCTCAGGCCCCCGGCCTTTCCAGCCACCAGACCCACCAGCAATCCGGAACCCAGCCTTGGCACTCCCTAGCGCACCTTGGGTGACGCACTGCGGCGTTAAGACTCCAGGCCGCCCTCACGGGGAGGTCATCTTCAGGGTGGCCACACTCCACACACGCACACGCCGCACCACCACCGCCCATCGGCCTCCTGCTCACGTGGAGGCCTCGCCTCCCCCTTGCTCACCGCCGGCCTGTCTTGCCCAGCACCTGCGCCTCCTTGCGCCGCTGCAGCTCGCCCATGTAGCTGAGGATGCGGCTGTTGCACACCAGCAGGCTCTTGGTGGCCTCCAGAGCCTGTTCTCGCTGGGAGCAGGCTGCCAGCAGCTTGCAGGCCCCTTCCCTCATTCGGATCTCATGGTCTAGCTTCCTCTGCAACTCCGTGTCCTAGCCAGGGTCAAGGGAAGGGTTAGAAGGAAATAGCAGTCAGGAGACAGATAGAAATCAACTCCAGTCTCCAGGGGAGCTGTGGTCAATGAGAAACTGATAAAAACCTAATGTTTTAGGTTATTCGAGAAGGAGCATTGGGTCTGAGCCTCAGCTGCTCTTCAATAACCATAGAAGCTTTGTAAAAATACAACTCTGATGGTTGGGAACGTAAATTCCTTCACCCTCTTTGGCGTGCAATTTGGAAAACAATCTGTGAATGTATGAGAAAACTATGAAAACGACAAATTCATATATCTTTCGATCCAGGTACACAGTAGCTTGGAGTTTATTCTATAGATATAAACACACAACAGGGGAAAGCCCACGCGTACAAAAATATTCATTGCACTCTTGTTTCAAACACCAAAATAAAAAAGCCCTTCAATAGGTTAGTGACTAAATAAGTGATAGCATGTTTATCCATATATTACAGACGTTAAAGAGTGAGGTAGACATGTACGCGAAACCGTCTCCACAATATGTGATGTGTGCTCCCCTCTGCTCATGACCTGTGTACATATGTATGTAGACATACACACAAGGAGTCTTCAGCAAGTTTATGGAAAATATGTATTATAAAAAACTATACACGGATTTCAAAAAAATGCACCAAAATAAATTCATACTTTAATTCCATTTTCCACGAACTATTTGAAGTCCTCTCGTATATACCTATACATAGAGATGCATGCTTATTCATAACATCTTAGTAGTTATGGGCCTCGGAGCTAGACATGGAAAACAAACTTATGATGATGTTGTACTTATATATAGCCTTCTCTATGATCAGAAATTGTATTGCCTTGGGGCCGACAGGTGGCGTAGTGGTTAGGAGCCCTGGATTCCCACATGGCCGACTGTGGTTCGAGTCCTGGACCTAAAGGCTTGCTTTCTCGCTTTCCCGTTCTCTCTCTCTCTGTCTCTGGTCAAAATTTAAAAATGATAATAACAACAAATGGAATTAAATAAATAAATAATTTTTTTTAAAAAGAAATTGTATTGCCTTTAAAATATATCCAACTTTTGGAATTAAAAAAAAACTGTCAGGCCCCACCTACAACTTGCAAAATCAGGATTTCTAGGAGTGGAACATGTGCATTTTGGGAAAACTCCCACATGATTCAGGTACAGCCAGGGCTGAAAACCATTAAACTAAGGAGGGGCCGGCAAGTGGCATGGTGGTTAAAGGCACTGGACTCCCACGTGGCTGACCACGGTTCAAGTCTCGAACGTGGTGGCTTGCTTTCTCACTTCCTCTTTCTTTCTCTGTGTCTCTCTGATAAAACTGGAAAATAATAATGATATAATAATAAATAAAGTTAAATATATTAAAGAAATAAAATCTCATGCCGGGTGCGTGTGCGCCAAGAGAAGAGTGGAGAAGGGACTGTGGTATGGCCATTCCCCTGGGGGGGAGATGATTTCTCACTTCCTGTCTCTCTGTCTCACCAATGAGCATAAGCTCCCTATAACAAAAATCTAAGGGACCAGCAGTTAGCGTAATGGCTATGTCGCTGGATTCCCATGTAGTCGACGGCGGTTTGCGTCCCAGACCCGGTGGCTTAAAACTCACGCTGGGTGCGTGTGCGTGCGTGCCCAAGATCCCAAGAGGAGAATGGAGAAGAAGGGATTGCGGCGTGACCATCCCCCCTGGGGGGTGATTTCTCGCTTTCTGTCTCTCTGTCTCTCTCTGTCT